TACCAGATGAGATCTTCCTCGAATATTCGGAAATCGGTGAAAATATCCAGACCTGCTATGAAAAGAATGATGCAAAAATCATTGAAGTTATCAAAGAAGACTAAAGAATTTGCGAAAATAATGAATTCGAAGATGAAAAAACAGATCCTGTACCAATAGCAGCAGTCTCGACATCAAAAATTCAGAGGATGCTTGAACTTAAATAAATGTGAAGATACAAAAAGTTACAAGCAATGTTGTCTTGGAGACTACTGCTGAAAAGCTACTAACAAAAGGTATGCAATGAACTCGAATGGATAAATTTTTAAATAATGTTCGATATGCTTACATACTGTACTGATCTGTGTAACATGTTGAAATAATTAAAATTTTTCTTAATTAAGACGGCTTGTTATCGATGGAAAAAATTAAAAGTTTTATAAAAAAGTGTATGTAACTTGCATATTAAATGGCATAATGATAAAGAGTATTAATCTTAACAGTAGGGCCATATACAAGGAGAGATTCAGGCATGTGCTAATTTCATTCATAAAACCTGTTGAAATCTTATATAAAATAAGTATATTTTTATACTTTCCCCAACAATATCCAACCTTGTATTATTAACCAAAAAGAAATCCTGCATATAAAAACTCAATTGCTTTATAAAATCAAAATAAGCTCGGAATGGGCATGATCATATTAAGCAGTATTTCCTGTACCTTGCATTTTTATACAAGTAAAAAAAGAGGGCTTTGATTTACTTTGAAAAATAGGGAAAACTCAGATAAGTGGCAATTTCAATGGTGCAATTTTTTTCGTCATCTTGAATTGTGAAAAATCGCCATATGCTCACGAGGATTTTTTTTTCACGCCAAGAGGGAAATGGTATCAAAAGGTGCTTTCCGAGAATTCCCTCTTCAGCTCATTGGGGGAAGGGGGGGGCGAAAATTGAGCAAGGCAAAATGTAGCTTTTACACTAAGATGGTAAACCATACACATAGAACAAATTGTAAACGATTAGTTATTCTTGTGATTAAGTAAATTTACGCACTTTTTTCATCTTAGTATTTTGTATTATGATTATATATAAATCCAGCATTATTAACTTTTATACTTCTCTTTAATTCTTACCATTAATTTGAACAATTATCCATAATAATGGTTATATATGTTTGAAAGCATGTTCTTTATATAATTGCAGTAATGATCACGAAAATGCGATGTATATCACACAGTCAATGATGAAAGTTTTAAAAAAATATGCATGTATTTCCATAACAATAATGCACCTTCGAAATGTATTCCAAACGATTCAATCATCCAGTCAGGTTTATATTTTACATTCTGGATTCTTTAATGCACATAATTTTGATTAACCCCTTTGAGCCAGGTAGCGCAAATGTGCGCTTATCGCGGAGGCCGGCAGTGTCTTACGCAAGCATCTGTCCAGGGCTGGGGGCTTTTTTGCTACTAAGCCTAAATCCATGAAATTTCCGAAGTATCAACGCATTGTTTAATAATGCTCTATAGAGTATTTAAACGGCCTATGCTTTATAGATATTTTTATACTATATACTTTAATTAATTACCTTATTTCTTGTTTAAATGCATATTTTACACATTTTATTTTCATTACTCACCATTTTATGACTTTTAACATTATACATCTGAAAACTAAATATATTACTTAAAATTCTCTTTTCGTATGAAAAATTTGAAAACAGAGATTTACATACAATCCTACGTTACATTCCTTGCACTCGTAATAACTCATTTGCCGTTTTGGAGGATTTTCCCGGGAATGTGAACAAACGAAGCAGGTCGTCTCATTTTCTTATCAGTCTCTTCTGAACAAAGTTTTGGAAATGTCTTTCAGTTAATCTTTCAGAATCAATATCTGAAATATTTTGCATCATTTCTGCTATTTCATGCTTTGTTAAACAGTTTTGACGCTTTGACATTGCAACGGTAAAAACAGAAAGAATTCACGTCTAACAAGATGAATTATTTTATAAAAACTGAACTGCAAACCAAAATACCCAATGCTTTAGCGCAAATAAAACTTCTCTATTTACAATAAACAACTACCACATGCGATTTAAAGAGACGTCATAAATCACACCATTCGGAAACATTTATTTCCCCTTTTGTTTATATAATCGAAAACATGTGTATGTGAGACATGCTTCTCTCATTTCAAGTAGGTCTAATGTACATGTATCTGAAACCATATGGACATACAGTGCCATCTTGTGGCAGAAATTATAGTTTTTAAAACGTTCCAGGACACTGGCACGCCTGCGTGTTGGGCAGGAAGTGAGTGTGTTGCTGGCACGTAGACAAGGACAGTCGGCGCAAAGGGGTTAATAAGGTTAAGAGGATTATTTCTATTCTTTTTTTCTCGTGTAAGTGCGAAAATAGTTTTCATGTAGGTAACCAAAGAAATGTAATCCTGAAATTAACAACTACACGGAAACAGGATTTTGCAACAAAGGTTTCTACGGCTTTTCACAACATTATGCAATTGTTTAAATTTCAGAAAGAGAACAATCAAATAGAATACGATAAAGTTATTTGAATTTGTCTCTATTTATTCCATGAAAAGTTAAATCCTAAAAATTCCTGTGCAATTTGAACATTGTCTATAACAGTGGTTTCAAACTGGCAACCGCCCCGAAACAATTTTATGTGGTCGGTGAATGTATTTCAGTTATGCAAAGATTTATGTTTTACTTATTTGAAGTTTCAGTTTATTTTACATTCATTACTATTAAACATGAATATGCGTAACACATCAGAAAAATCTATAAATATAAATCTTATTCTGTAGGGTTTTTCTTAATTTACATAACAAATTTATTTTAAGTTTACCTGTTCTCAACTTCTCAAACTTCCCCTCACATTCTCTCGCCAGGATCTAAATTTTAAGTGAAGTGCTTTTTAAACGTGTGATTATCTCAGTTTATCCAGAGCGTGTTTCGCTAGCCTAGCGCTCATGTTTCGTTGTTTTTTTGCAATCACTTGAGTAAGCCTTTTGGCCTTATCAGTTTAGTATCACGCCGGTTAGATCTCTGCAAGTCCATCTCTTAGGAGTAATTTTGAAGTGCATTCTTGCACTCGTTTTATTTTTTCAGATTTGATTTTGTATTCTTGTCTACATTTAAGTTATTGCTGCAAGTGAACGGTGTTTTTGTAACTCACGAAGTTCGTGCCGTCTGTTATTTTAGTTTGAGCTAATAAATAGTTATTTTCACCCTTCTTCTGCGCTGGTATTTATTTCACCGCCTGTGCGAGAATTCGCCAGTTTCATCGTAGGATCTAAGTTAGTGCATGTGGACAGTTAGAGACAGATCTTACAATTCAAAGATACAAATTTAATTAACCTTTTTGTTAGAAAATACAGAAATGCCCATGTTTTGGCTAATTGTTTAGATTTTTTACTGATAAACCCAACTTTTAATCCACAAAATCCTCTATATAAAGAAATCGGTGAAATATGCTTGACGTAGAAACACAGCAAAATAATGTTTGTTTCATATTTCATACTAACTTATTAGCATTTTAAAGTCTAATTATCATTTTATTGCATTTTTAATAATTATATTTGAATATAAATTTTAAACGGTGTCTTTTAGCAGCTGAAGGGTAAAACTTTTGCACACTGGTAGTTCGTCTCGAAGTCAGGACATGGACTTTTCTCTCTTTAAGCAAATAGCCCAGGAGTGCTTTTGATATTCTAAATAATCCTAATCGTAGTTATATATGGACATAATTTTTTTTAAAAAAAAGGCATTTGGTTAGATTAAACAAATGACTTCCATAAGTAAAAAAATATATATATGTATTAGAAGTACAATGAAGTTATTTAGAAATTAGTTCCTGTTATGTCCAGACTCCCATATATTTAAATATTAAGTAGATAATTAAAAAATTTTCATTACAATTAGAAATTATTTGGAAATACGAGCAATAAGTTAAAAAACAGCATATTTATTATATAATAAAATTATTTTATTCTGATTAGAAGTGTAATTAATTCGTTTCTATAATATTTTTTTTAATTCTGTAATTCTTTTTTTTCTATTATTGAATTCTGAAAAGGAGCATATTTTGTAAATTTCTTGTATAAAAATAAATTATCTTATTCTAATTACAAATGTAATTAATTTATTTAGAAAATAATTAAACAGTGAATTTAAAACATCTAGTGACAAAGTCATGTGATCATCAGCACAAAGATTTATCTGCAAAGTCAGGACATACAGAAAAGAAAATATCCCTTTCCTTTTCCCTATCTCAGTTAACATCTGGGCTAGCAACCTAAACACTCTTCCCACTGTTTGGTGCCTATCGCCCAAGTTGGCAAACACAATTTCAGGAAAGAAACTCACCAACTGCCGGCTATCTGAGTACCCCCGAAAAATAAAATGCAAAATATTTCATGCTGAACTTTTAATCAATGTTGCATTTTTTAAATGGCAAAAATATCCTAAATCCCACCCCTACTGAATATGCCCACAATTTACCATGGAGAAATTTTCATTCGTTTACCAACAAAGCATTATAACAGCTTTTTTTAGCATTATTAAGTAAAAATTCTAATCAATTTCAATACATAAAGCTGCTTAGATTAACATTCTAATGATATACTTCATTAGCAAAAATTTTTAGACTTTATTTTAAAAGAAAAAATTCAAAAGTATTTCCAAGCACTGTTCCAAGAGAATGAGATTTCTACACCAACAATTTATTATTAGCAATAAGGATACCATAAGAGAATGAGATTTCTACACCAACAATTCCTTACTAGCAATAAGGATACCCTAAGTTCATTATCTATACATAAATTTGCTCTAAACAAATGCTCTCACAACCATTATAAATAACATCAAATTTCTCAAGGCATTTCTGTCAGAACACACTGGTTCAGATCAGCCATTGTTTATATTATATTAAACTGCATTAATAAATAAAAAGGATTAAATTCGATATTAAGTAAACATTATAAGAATTCATACCTGCTTCTGACACACTTGCCACACCGAGATCCACCGTAAGTTCTAGTTACAGTTTTATGTCGCTTAGATAAAGCAGACAACTCTCTTGGACGAGCATAAGTTATCTGAAGAAGAAAAAATGAAAAGCTAAATTAGCAGATACATGGACTTATGTGTGCCTTTTCAGTTAATTTATACACAATATGTTTAAAAGGTTAAACCTGACTTATGTGCAACTATCTTTATGCCTTTCTAGCTAAGCTAATGCTTAATTTTTTCTTCACTTAACCCCACATAAATTTAGCGGGGAAAGTGCAAAATCACCCACTTCTTGGCACGTTTTTAAGAACTGGATATACTCAATATGCATGGATCTATTTTCACTATGAAAAAAATTCCAGAATTCCACAAAAATGGCATTGTGGCCCTTTATCCATCTACACATTGACCTATTTTCACTTAAAAAGTCAAAGAAAATTGACAAAAATCCAATTATTCTTACTCTTGTAAAAAGTGCCAAACAAATAAGTGGGCGATTCTGCACTTTACCCAATTTAGCTTACATAAGCTAATTGTCATAATTTTCTTCCTTAGCATTAATTTATGCATACTAAATATGTTTTTGATTAAACACTGGAAAAAAATGCACGTCTGCCAACAGGTTCTTTGTGACACTAAAACCTGTTTGGTACTTCAGTTTTAATCTTTTTATTATGAATTCAACATTACAGAAATGATCTCAAATGCAGAAATATCATCTGCCTCTGAGTGAAAGGTTTTAGTGTAGAAAAGGGTGCTGCTTGGATTGCATAAGTTTTCTGGTAACCCAGAATTTTCTATGTCAACCTTTTTTGTTATGTGATAACGTATTTCTAAAGTTAACTTAATTGGAACTTCTCAGTTTAGGAATCAAGGTCTAAGTAATTTGTAGTACATCACATATACTGAATTATGAGAATTTTAATTGTGAATTGACCATTGTTTTACATTAGCTGGCTGGTTCACCATTTTCCTGTTACTTCTACAAGTCATATAATTTTTTTTTCCCTCCAAACCTGGAGGATCGCTGGAGGTAGAATTTTGGAAAATCTTGCCTAGCACCATGATTATCTCTGGTTGTTGGAAAGCACGATCACCTTAACAATTTAGGCTTCATGCATTTCTCAACCACACTAACACCACCGAAGACATATGGAGCCAGATTAAGCAGGAAATGAAATTTTAGATTTCTATTTTGCAATAACTGCAAGTACAGAGATCAAGAAGAACCATCCAGGGACTACATAAATTTCATTAAAAAAATTATACATGCTGCAGTCAAGACACTCACAATAAGACATAGGCAAGAACAAATGAGTACTTTTGTTGTTTTTATAACACATTTTCAGCTTTGTTTAGGTTCACAGCCATCTTGGTGCCAAAAATATCAGGAGAGAATCCAACTGTAAGCTTTTACCGAACAAATTTACACATTAATATATTGTTTTATATTTATTGGCTGATCTTTGGAATATGGTAACTGGTAGTTTGGTGACATTCTGAAGGCGCTAAAGGTTACTACCTAGGACTTTGGTAATAATATGAGAAGTACTTACTTCCGATTACGCATTATTTTGTGTGAGGGAAATGAGAGATCATGAGATATGTCATGTGACATTAATGGACGAATTACAGTTCTTTAATCGGAAAAGGGGGAGAATTTGAAAAGAAGTCTATATTATTTTGTATCAATCTTCATTGTGTGTGTGAAATAGTGGAAGTGTGCGTGCCAGTAATGAAGATTCTGAAGATTAGATAAGTTAGTATTTTTAATCTTGAGCATATTATTTTTTAGCATTGTTCTAAAATGTAAGGAGTAAATAATTAATATATATTATTGGAAAATTGTTATTAGCAATGAGTTTCAAGTAATTTGGATTGTAAAACCTTTTTATTAATTTAATGTATGTGCTTATTTATATTTTAAGTAGAGTTTTTTTAATTTAATGATCGGATTTTGCGAGTTATATGTTTGTACTATTTGGAATACGCCTGAGTATTTTCATGCATTTTCGTGAAAGTTTCTAATTTATGAGAAAAAAGCAGTGTACATGGATATAGTGAAGCGTGTGCGCAATGCCATTTTTGGCAATTCTGGGATTTTTTTAAGTAAAATAAGTCGACGTGTACATGGTTAGTGATATTTTAATTAAAAGATAGTTATTTTTAAATTTTAGTTTGTAGAATGGTATACGTTCAGTTGAAGTAAACGGTATGGAAAATTTAAATATTGACACTAAGTTTGTAACTATTTTTAATGTGCGTATAAATTCGTTGCCTGACTTTATAATAAATAGATAATTTAGAGGTAAAAGTTTTGGATATTTTATTTATACTTGGAAAGTCATTCTTTGGAAGGGTATATACTTTTTCGCGATCAGGTATTTCATATATGTTCTTTTTACTGGATTTAAGATTCAAAAATTTCATGCATTTTGTGAAATTTTTCTAATTTATGACAAAAAAAGCATTGTACTTGATATAGCGAGAGGTGCGCAATGCCATTTTTCTGCAATTCTGGGATTTTTTTACGTAAAATTGTAGACGTGTACATGTTTAGTGATATTTTATTAAATGATAGTTATTTGTGAATTTTATGTTTGTAGGAATGGTTATGTTTCAGTTGAGTAAACGTTGGAATAATTTAAAATTGACACTAAGTATTGTAAACAATTTGTATGTTTGCGGTATGAATTTGGTGATTGTTATAATATAACAGATAATTTAGAGTAAAGTATATTTTATTTTATACGTGAAATGTCATCCTTGGAAAGGGGTATAATTTTCGCGATCAGGTAAATATATGTGCTTTTTACGAGTTTAAGATAGATTTTTTTTCATTTCGTGCAAATTTTTGTAATTATGAGAAATAGCAAGTGTAGATATAAAGTTAAGTGTGTGGCAATGCCATTTTTGTGCAATTGGGATGTTTTTTTTAAGCTAAAAATTAAGTCGACGGTAAATGGATTGTGATTGCTATTCTGAAAAACGCGCAAGGAGTTTGCGATGGTGCACTTTTCACCAATTTGAGGTCATATTTGTCATTGAGGTTTGTTACATAAAATTTCTAGCAACGTGTAATTCGGCTAGTAGATTGTTGGAAAAAAGTGTTAAATAAAGAAAAGAAAAAAAGGAAAAAAAAAAAATAGAGGGTTGGCGAGTGGTCGCCAAATTTTCACCAAGTTACCATAATCCAAAGATCAACCTTTTTATTTTTCGGGAACAGTAAATAAAAAACAAATATTAATAAGGAGGAAAATTTATGCACCTACAAAAAGGGATACACTCTGAGAGGGAGAGAAAAACAGTTCACAGTTCCTTAAAAATTAATGAATTAAAAAAGCATACATACACCTCTGAGCCTCAAATGACAATCACCACATCTTGGAACCTTGCCTGGTTTTCCTGGATACAAATAAACTAATCGCCCACCAGGAGTTTTAGATCTAAAATACAAAATAAATTTCTTACATTAAGTATCTCACAAGCATCATAACATTTCAGAAACTGCAGTTAAAAAAAAATTACTCAGCAGCTAATTCATTTTTTGTAAGCATTTTCAATTTTCAGACATATATTTAATAAAAACGAATGATGATGGCTCTAGTGTAGAATTCGGTGCACTTCAATTGGGTACAAATTTTGTTCAGGTTCGGTAATGGAATCCCATTTCTGGTTACTATGATAGTTTTCACGTGGTTTTAGCTTCATTTTCATTCTAAATAACTGATTTTTTTTTTTAAGTGCAAATAGATCGATATGTACATGGACACAGAGTTTGCAGTTCTTCGACTTCTTATTATGGTTTTGTGTAGTAGACATCTTGAAACTGTGCCTTCCTGGCACTGATCTTGGTGTCAGAAAAGAATTGCCCCCCCCAAAAAAAACCAAAGAGCACCTAATTGTAAACTTTTACCTTAAAATAATACACATTAGTTAAAAAATAATGGTGATAAAAGTAGCTGGATACTTAATTGCTTTATCAAACAAACATATATATTTAAAAATAATTTTGCACTGTTTTGTTTGATTTCTATCAGTTTACACCTATTTGGTATCGATTTGATTCTTTTGCTGTACCTACCCTAGTTCTGATTTATTCATTTTAAATAACTTTAATTACTATTTCTAAAGAAATACTTTGCTTCCGAATTTTATATTCTATTCACTGTTAAATATACCAGATCTAAATTTGCACATTATGAAAGTATTATATTTTCACAGAAGTTACAGTGACATGAATCGATGCAGCAGTATGCTTAGAATCATTTGTTTCAGTAGAATAGGAAACTATTTAAGAAGCTGGTTTACAAATTCAGTGTTGATGATTTTATAATTCCTGTATATGTACTGATCACAATTTCAACGAAAGACAAATAGTCTGGTATCTTGACTACTCTACATTTAGTTCTCATTTTGAAATTTCTGAAGTCATCTTCACGAAAAATAAAAAACTCTATAAGAATTTAATATACAAACTAGTACTAGTACTTTGTTAAACTACTGTAATTATTGCAATTGTAAATATTGCAGTATACATACTTTTCAAACCTTTATACGCTTGATTCATTTACCATTTCGGTTTAATCCTAGTATCCGGTGCACACGGGATTTGGCTACTTTTGGCGAATTTATGATGAGCAATAAAAACGAGACATATACGACGAGTTGTAAACGGGTCATTCAAAGAATATATTATAGTTATACATAGACGTTGTTTGGGTATGTATATGGTGTATAGTACATAGACGTTGTTTGGGTCATTTTTGGTGTTAGCGATAATTTTCAAAATCGCGCCAAGGCTGCACCGTATACTAGGATTTTACCAAAATTTCTAAAACCTAACAGTGTCCAATTACTTTCTTTGAACACTACTGAAGTTGCGTTTAATAACAAAAAAGTCAACGGAAACGCAACATGTCTTCAAATAGTTTACATTTTCACATGTATAATAAATGTTTATGAAATGTTCACTAAGTATAAACAGAAAATTATGTACAACGATGAAAAATTACATGCACAAAGCTTAAAAATATGATAAGGGAACTTACATCTGTTTGACGGTGTGTTGTAGCACAAACGTCGTCTATACGTCAACCTTTGAACCATGCTTTATGGAAAGTAATAAAACTTCCACCTTGAAAGAAATGGCATAATGTTAGAAAATACAAAAAAACATATTATGCGACATCTTAAAATAAATTTCAAAAGGATTAAATCAGATTCAAATCAACAACTCACTTAATGAAGCAGGAACTCATAAAAATCAACTTCACAGAGTTGAAGTTAAAGTAGTTTTGAAGTGCATGCCAGTGGCCAGTTACTGCATTTAAAATACTGCTAATATAGTTTGGGCAGCCTCAGTGCATTAGGTTCAGCGGTTCTCAACCTTTTGACTAACATGTACCATCTAAACAAAAATTGAAAATCTTTACTACCACCACTAGAAAGTTCTACTACACCACCACTCTTGAACAAAGCTCAGATTGCATAAATTTACAAGTGTTAGAGAAAAAACTCAATCAGGATGTTGGGGTTTTAATTTTTAAGTTTAATAGTTAAAAATACTTTGCTTCTTTTTGCGTACCACCTATTTTTCTCTTGTCTACCAACGGTGGTATTCGTACCACGGTTGAGAACCCCTGCTCTAGTTCTCTTAGAACACATATAATAGAAGCCAAAAAACTTCCCACCCGAGTAAATAAATATAAGAGTTTATTAGAAAATGATTTAATGTAATCAGAAATACTTAAAATGATAAATAATTAATAAAATTTGGCAAAATTATATTTTTAACGATAAAAGAGAAAAAATAAGGAAGAAAAAGAAAAGAGCTTCAATATCTGTAGACTATCACAACCTCATTTCTTACTGTTCAATTAGTAGCACTTAATAGAATTATGCACAATATATTATCATTGCTTTCTTTATGAAGTAATGTTACATGCGATACCTTAAGCTTAATTTAAGAAATAACTTGTATTATATATGTATATCTAGAGCCCAATTAACAAAAAACGGTACCTAGTCTAAAACCAGTTTCACTAAATGAGCTCAAAATGGAACATAAAGGCGATTAACACTAGCTGAAGTTTCAAACCTATAAACGCGTTTGAAAATTTTGACTCCATTGAATAGAGGAAAAGGTACTCATTGTTTTTGATATAAAATAAAGTATTTATGCATTTTACTGCACAAAACAAATAAACAGTTTAGGTGATGATTGCGTCCAGAATTTCAAAAGTGAGACATCTCGTTAACACATGAAACTAATACCATTAAGAAGCTGTAAATCAGAGGTGCCAAGTTAGTACTCGCTTCTTGATCTCAGAATTCCGCTAGTATAAAAAGGTCTCAGCATTTTTTTTTTTTTTTTTTTTTTGAGTGAGTTTTGGTCTATAAAACAGGAAGTTACGGACGAACGTCGCTGCGCGAAGGTAGCATTTTTCCGACTCCTGATTTTATGGCAAAAAGTTTGGCCTAAGTTTCCATTTACTTATTGGTATTGCATGTACTCGCCATTGTTTTAACAAATTTAAAATCGATTTTGATGATTAGCTCTTTAAAATTGAAGAGCGCATAATTAGTATCCAGCAAAAAACCCAACGTGGACAATACGTTTCTGATGAACTTTATCAACGTGAACTAAATCTGATCAGGAAACTACACTACGGGGGATTTCCTCTTCGACTTAATAAGCCACGAGTGACATCAGCTCTTGTACTAAATGATGACAGATCCGGTTTTTATGAGGATTGCTTTGATACCGAAAACTCAAGCAACACAGAAATATCCCTTGGGTCGCTCTCTGACTCAAGTTTACTTCAGGCGAGTATTTCCAATTAACTTTGACGTGAATGAAATATCTAGCATTCTCTCGAGAAACTCCCTCAGTTGCCTGGAGGCGATGGATTCATCTGACTCTGCGACAGAATTGATTCCCCAACTTTAGGAGGAAAAAAAAGAGTCTATCATCAATAATCTGCCAGCGACCTCAAGCCACGTAGAAATAATTAAGGTCCATTCTCTACAAAAACAACATAGAAGACTACATAGACACTTTAAAGCCAAATAAAATTTGCCTCAGGTTTCACGATGGTGACATCAGGGAAAGGACTAGGGGTGCTGTCTTCAAAACAGAGATCCAGTTTTGTATATTCCGTTGTGGGATTCTCACTTGTGTATTTCTCAGTTTTTGTAGAAAGGGAAGAATCTTAAGAACTGCTAAGCGAATAATCGCTTAAGTTCGTGTGACAAGAAACAACAAGATGGAAGGGTAATTAACTATTTATTATTCCAATAAGATTTAACAGAACTCCGTCTTGGAGTGCACAATAAAAGCCGACTCTTGGGCCTGAACTTAAGAGACTTAAGAAATACACTAAAACTAATTTTAAACCAAAGAGATATAGCCGAAGCTATCAAGATTCTAACCGAGTCGGTCCCTTAATATTAGTTGACTACGAAGCTATCAAGCGCCTGAGTACGGCCGAGCGTAGTAACAGCTTTGAGAAAGAGTAGCTAAAACGGCAGACGCGCGCAAATCAGAAACTCCGATTCTCTCTTATTCAGCGAGTAGAACTTAGCGAACTAGCGAGTAGGTGGAGCGGTTTAAATAACGCTCCACCTCATTATGTATTCAAAGTGATTCTAAAACTACGTTCTGGCCGGAAGTCGTAAGTTGAAGTTAAAGATTTGATAGGAAAGAAGTTTAACTCAAAATTAAAACTGTTAATAAAATTAAAATAACCTTCCGTACAAAAGAGCAATCTTCATTTAAAGAAATCATGATTGGTCTCTCCGCAGATAAAGCCCTTGTCTCTCTAAGGAAATAGCTAAAGTACAAGCTCTACCCGGTCTGTAAGCTGAAGCAGTTTACTTGAAAGATCATTAACGGAATTGTTAATTGCCCAGTTTTCTTCGTGGATTGAAGCGTAGCAACAAAAGCAACAAGATTAACAATGAAAAATCCTTTCTTCCCTCTGAGTTAAAATTAGGAAGTGCAGGCCGGAAAAACTCTAAAAATATGTTTTACATGGGAGTGCTTCGGCCATGTAGAGACCGGATGCAATAATTACCTAAGATGCCTTTACTTCTTGCAGATCTTTATCACACACCTGCAACCCTCCGAGACATGCCAAGTCGAATTGCATCAAATGTAAGTCTGACTATTTAGTTACTCTCAGCAAATGTTCATTTCATCCCAGCAATATAGGTCACGATTCTAAATTTACCTTCAGAGCAATATTAGATAGGAAAAATTCCGTAGTACTGCATTTTTGCTCTCAGAATTTCAGTTCCGGACAAGACTTTCTTTCCGGTGCATGTGCCAATGAGATTTAAAAAAAGTGTCAAGCTCAAGCACATTCAAGAGCCCACCAGTGGTAAAGTATTACGGTTTTCTCCCTAGAGGAAGCACGTTATCGGATGCCAACCACACTCTGAGTTACCATAATAAGCTGTTTCTCCCTCTTTTGATGTCTCCAAGTAATGTCTGCCTAGCGGTAAAGACGCTGAACGCGAGTTGTTATATGGGGTTCTGATCCCGAAGAACGGGCTGACTGTATGGACTTTTCGTGGATTTCCTTATGTATAACATGTATTCGAGCCAGTTTCCCTAAGAATGTCCTCCACGATGGTATTCCTCCCCTTAGGCAGATAGCCCTCAAGTACTTTGTCACAATTAAATAAAACAAATCAATCAAGCTGATTCATTATTTGGGACTTATTGATGGTCATAGCAAAAGCAAGTTTTACAGTTTCTACGTCTCAATTGAAACGGAAACCCAGTGTCGTGACAACTTCACCCCATTGGTTAGTACAGTTACGCAAGCGACAATTAAACTATCCGTGACAAACAGACACTTAAGCCGCATATACATATCGGGTGAAGTAACATCATCTCCTCCGAAACGGTTGGCTCCCGGGATTAGCGAAGCATACCGTTGGATTCCGCAGGTCCGTGGCACGCCATTTTGACCATTCACGTCTTCTTGGGACTTTAATTAACAGATATATTAATTAAAAACTCATTTTCCCAACGTTTTCCACTTTCTTTCTTGGGTTTTCCCTATTAGAGGGATTTGGCTACGTACCAAATTCTTTTTTCTCGAATATTTACGGAAAGGCGCCGAGTTGAAATTCGAGACGCGTATCCTCGGATTCCAAAAAATTCTCCGAATCTATCGATATCGTTCTCATTTTCGTACAACTTTAATGAGCCGAGATATTAATTAAAAACTGCAGAAACTTTAATTTCCGCACTCATTTTTCCAAGTGGCAACAATAAACTATCGGCGACACGCACTTTAGCCGCTTATATATATACTAGAAAGCCCGGCGGTCATATGAAATGACCTCTGTTCTAGATATTATAAATTGTACTTAAAATGATTTGTGCAAAGATGTCTGCTAATTTAAACTGAATTACCCAGGGCAGGCGGCGCGGACGCCCTTTTGCTCACTGCCCCACGGGTTTCCCGCTTCTACTTGCTTAAAGTACAATGAAGGAAACCACTGGCGGTACATTTCTTAAGAGCCCACCGCTAGCTCAATCAATAAATTCGATTTATGAAATGTTAATTCACATGTCAAAGATCTCTTTGTACACAACATTCTGTGTAGATCTTTCCATCATTTTTAAGCTCGCCTTGCAGAGGACCATCCAATATTTTTAATTTTACGTCTGTTCTTTCACAAACTCTTGAACAGGCAACATAAAGTTGACCCTGTCCAAACGCAGGCTCAGGTAAAAAAAAATGCCAACACGCTTAAGCGTTTGCCCTGAGACTTATTGATGGTCATAGCAAAGGCAAGTTTTACAGGAAGTTGTCTACGTCTCAAATGAAACGACAACCCTAAGCCGTGGCAACTTTACCCCATTGGCTAGTGCAGTTATGCAAGCAAAACATAAACTATCGGCGACAAACAGACACTTAAGCCGCATACATATATGGGGTGAAGTAACATCATCTCCTCCGAAACGGCTGGCTCCCGGGCTTAGCGAAGCCCACCGTTGGATTCCGCAGGTCCGTGGCATGCCATTTTGACCATTCGCGTCTTCTTGGGACTTTAATTAGCCGAAAAATTAATTAAAAACTAATTTCCCCTTACGTTTTCTCTAC